TTCTGGGTCTGTATCCTGCCCCCTTGTGTCTACCACTTTATCCTGCTTCTTTGTGTGGTCTGTGATGGTCTGTTGTTTCCGAGGCATCATGACGTTGTTGTATTTAGATCTCTGTTAACTGTTTATGAAGAGCAGCCAAGGGTGGTTCAGGCTTTTCTTGATGGTTTTTTCGTTGGCCCATTGCTTTTCAGTCTTGCAGGCCCCGAGTGTCCTTGGGGTTGCTGGAAAGCAGAAGGTGTTCTTAAGTCCCAGAAATCTGCAAGAGCGCTCTCTCTTTAAATATCCAAAATAGTCAATCTGCTTTTTAAACCTTCAATATGGCAGCAACCTCTGGACTGGCAAAAGCCCACAGCCTCAGGCCACCTTTCTCTTCACCTTCTCCGTTTGTTCCCCAGCCACCGTGCACAGTCCTCCTTGCAGTCACTGGCTAGCAGGGTGATTTTTAGGTTAATTCTTAAGTCCTACCACCACAGGAATCTGCGAGAGCAGTGTCTCTTTAAATATCCAAAATAGTTGAGCCACTTTTTAAACCTACAAAATGGCGGCGTCCTTCGGAGTGGCAAAAGTCCACAACTCAGCCCACCTTTCTCTTCACCTTCTCTGTTTGTTCCCCAGCCACCGTGCACAGTCTGTGCGGTCCCTGGCTAGCAGGGTGATTTTTAGGTTAATTCTTAGGTCCTAAGACCTAAGACCCTGTACCGTCAGGGTTGCTCAGTTCGCTGTCAGACCACAGCTCTGTATGTCTCCTTTTTTTGGTATTTTCACGCAAATTCTTCTGCTAGTTGGGCTTTAGTCCACTTCTGTATCCTTCCCTTCAAGGTTCAGGGGTCCAAGATTATCTTCTGTGTCTGTGTTAATTGGTTGTTGAAGAGGGTCTGTGCAGTCCTTCTGCCTACTCCGCCATCTTGCTGGAACTCCCTATTTGTTTGTTTGTTTTCATAGATAAGGAGACTAAGGCACAGAATTTACTTTGGTAATGTGGATCCTGTACTTGGAAGAGCCAGATTTGAACCCTGGAAGAATGCCTTCTGAGTCCATGCCTTTCATTTTTTCATTATACTTATAATGTTAACAGCAGGTGATTGATTCTCAGTCAGGGATCACCAACTACAATGTATCCATTTCTAGCATCCAGTTATTATTTCTGGAATTATTCACTTTACAGAGATACTGCAGAGTGAACAGCCCAAAGTAATGCCATTTGTCATAAAGTAGCTTCAGTGGTCACCTAACCTGGGACAATAAACAGTATACTTTGCTACAGATTTTGACATAAATATCTATGAAAAACCCACAGAAAACTGTGTCCAATTGGCCACAGAATCTAGGGGTGGGAGAGGCCTCTGGAGACCATATGGTCAAGCTCCATCATATCTAGCACATATAAGAATCAAAGTGATATTTTGGTGGCTTTTGATGGATAGCATCTTGTCCATAGGACTTAGAAATGGTCACTTACTGCCTCAGGTTAATCACATGCATCCTGTGAGTTTCCTAGGGGAGTGAAAACAAACACAAAGGATGAATAGGAACTCAAAGGATCACTTCCTTTTTAGCCTTCTAGCCATCACCCTCAACACAACCCTTTGATAAAGCTGGCTTGTAAAGGCTTAAGTCCCAGTCTTACTAACAGATGGCCATGGAGTCTGAAGAAATGAAGTGAAATCTCCCAGGTATCTGAGAGCATCTCTGGGAAAGAGGAAAAGAGAGAGGAGAGAAGGGAGATAGAGTGACTGACAGAAGAGAGCAGGAACAAGATTCCATCCTGACTTAGCTATTTGATTCTGTCACACAGTCATCCCACTTATAAATGTGGTTCCGTCAATCCTGAAATCCAACCATCAGGTCATCAGATCATTGTTCTTCTGGGTAGGGCTCTCATGAATATCTCATTCCCAATAATATAGTATGATTGTGTGTGTGTGTGTGCGCGCACACACATGTGCATGTGCAAGTGTGCACACATGTATACAGAGAGAGGATTTTATTTTATTTAACTTTTTATTGTGATTTGGGTGCCATTTTAAAAGCAGAATCATTTTTCATTCATTAGTTCATGTACATTTTGCTTCATGACACTGATTACATTCCCCATAATGTAGCAGCTCTCCACTCACCTTCTCCTTGTGGTTACATCTTCCCTGTGTCCTTCTTACCTATGCATACCTGCCTCCCTAGCTTTCTCCCTGGGCAAATGCTGCCCTTCTGATCTCCCATAGTTGACTGTTCTAAGGAGTGCATCTCCCTGGTGTAGTTTGGCTGAGAGCTAAGCCACAGGAATAAGTCCAATTCTAGGGCTGAAGGGTAACTAGGAGCCTTAACCTTAGGGGTTTCACCAGTATCTATCAGAACAGTAATCCTGGTCTTTTTTATGCTTTTGAATTTTGTTCCACTTTTTTTTCTTCCACTTTATCCAGGATCTCCAATTTTGATTCCTTTCTGAGTGGTTGGCAATGGTAGCTGGGCACTATCTAGTTCTTCTCATCTCACGGTCATGTAGGCTGAGATTCCCGTGGTCCACTGGTACCTTGGACTAATCGTTTCCATACATCTTTGATTGCCTTCACTCTTCTTTGCTCTGGATGAGGAGACACCAATGGTTGCATCTCAAAAGTTAAAAGTTAAATCATTAAACATATAAGCTTTTAAGACCCCAGTCACTACTCACTAAAGCAGGATGTAGAACAATGTTTTTGTGTACTACATTGTGGCAATTGAGCTTGATGTCCCCTGCAATCATGGTCCTGAGGCCACAGGCCCAGTGACAGTCCCTCAAGGTGCTTGGTTGTGGCTAAAACATTATCCTAACTTTGTCCTCTGTTAGCTATATGGGCATTTTTATAGCACATACAAATATGTATATGGGAATATTGTCTGCCAAACCTGTATATGTTTTTGAGTATATTCCTGTTCACTGACCCACACCTGATCTTCTTATCTATCTACCTCTGTATCCACTCATAGATTAGTGTTTGTTATTACTGATAGTGCAGTATTTTGTATGTAATAGTATTTACCTTTGTTGTCTATACCGCTTGTGCATCTAGAGAAGGATTTTTAAAAAAATTGTAAGGAAGTATACCAAGTGGTTGTGTTTAACTGGTAAGATTTTAGTATTTTCCAAATTTTCTATAAAGAATATGAATTAATTACCTTTATAATGGGAAAAAAAAAACATTCAATAAAATATGGTACCTGTAATTGAATCTAGTCTTATAATACAAGACCAAAATCAAATACAATACTATGTAGTATAGATGATAAATGCTACAGCAGCAGTGCATAAAATGATCCAGGAAATTTAGAATAGTCAAGGAAGATTTCATGAAGAACTAGCCTTTTAGCTGGGCCTTGAAAGAGGTATGATGAAAACTCTGTCATTGTCCCCAGAGACTTGACATATGCTGTGGATTAATGGCTGTGACTTTGGTCTCTTCAGCTCAAATGTCACGTCTCTGGGGTCGAGGACTCTATTTCTCTCCTGCATCTCTCCTTTGCCTCCTCTTCACCCAACATCTAAGAAATCACCACATTTCAATTACACCTTGTTAATCAACTGCACCCACATGGTCTGGCTACATGTCCAAGTCAGGCTAGGTGCTCTGAGTTATTTATAAGTTAGAGAAACAAATTAATGACAGGTTCTCTTCATCCCTCTAGCTCCTCAGAAAATATCCCAGGAATCTCATACGGAGACAGATTTGAACTTCCTAGAAAAGGAAGGTGACAAGACTAAATCTGAAGTTAAGGTAAGATCAGCTTTCTTTTACTGATAGAAATTTTTGACATGAGAGAAGATCACTGCCATAATTATCAATAAATCAGTAAATTATATTCCCCTATCATCACCTCTAGAAGTTGTGCCCACAAAAGTACATAGCACAGACTAGTGCTCCTAAGTGCTGAGAGGTTTGTTGGATTTTGTTTTTTCTTCCTTTTCTTTATTCTTATTTGCAACTCAATTTAAAAAAAAAAAAAAAACTGTTTGGTCATATACTTCATTGTTGTTAAATACTGTTTTGTGTGAGAGAAGTCACTTTATTCTTTTCTATAATCTGACCTCATATTTATATAACATTGCTGTGTAGTATATGGTTCATGTATAAAAAGAGAATGACAAAATTGCTACAGCCATACCCCCCATACACACACAAACCCACACAAGTGCATTTATAACTGGGAAATCTGAATAGACTGTGGACTATGCCAGTGTCAACTTCTTGGTTTTTATATTGTACTATAGTTGTGTAAGATGTTACTACTGGGGTGAGCTAAGGAAAGAGTGCAGGGGACTTCCTTGTGTATTTCTTTGCAACCTCTGTGAAGCTGTATATATTACAAAATAGAAAGGAGAGAGAGCATGAACTTTTGAATCAAGAAGGCCTAGGTTTAAGAAACCTAACTTCTCTAAACCTCAGTTTCTCATCTATGAAAAATAAGAATAACAACAGCTACCAGCTACCACTTGGAACTATTTAGAGCATCAAATGAGACAGTGTGTGAGAGAGTCCTTTGAAAATTGTCAGTCACTGTATAATTGTAAAGTAGCATTACACTTAAAAGCCCAAGGGAAATGAGTTATGAATATATGTTGCTCCATGGCAATTCCAGAGTTGTTGCCTTTCCTTTGCCTCATTGAAAATTAAATCTCTGCCTGACTGAATAGTTCTAAAAAAAAAAAGAGGCCAGAGATGATGGGCTCAAATGCAGGAGGCAAGAGGTCAGATCCATCATCATCCCTAATGTGTCCAAGTAAAGGAACCCACGAGGATTTTATTGACCCTTAAGGAGTTAGGCAAAAAAGCAAGCTTTAGTTTCTTCTTACTGGATGCAGATGCGATGTGGGAACTAGATTTCCAACTGACTTTTTTTTTTAGAGAGAGAAAGCTGTCAAATTTAGCCATCCTTCTGTATTCTGGGCAGAATAGGATGTAACCATTGCTATTTCTGAATTCTTCATGGTTGTAGGCATTGCACTACATGATTTTTAGAGTTAGGAAACAGTTTGCAAATTAATACACCCTTGATCAGCCATTTTCCAAAGTAAAGAGCAATTTTCTGAAATGGGTCAACATAATTAAACTTTGCCTGACTTGACATCTATGAAGTCTGTGGAATCATTAAATGGTATAAAAAGTGTTTAATCATGGTAACATTGAACATCAGCCAAGGGTTTTCTGTACCCTGAGCTTGTAAGAATATGTTTTCTGTGAAGCGATGACTGTGAGACTAGATACTGCCTTTGTTACTTACTTGTGATGGGATTTGAACTCACTTTCTATTTCTGTGACTTAATTTTCCCATCCTTAAACAACATATTTATGACCTGCACTCTTTATACAGATGCCATAGGAATTTTAAGTATGTGAGGGTTCTTGTATAAAATAATCCAAATTAGAGTGAATAATTTTCAATAATTATGAACAATAAATATCAGTGCTACCATTTTGTTTGCTGTGCAAAACAAAAAACAGGAGATATAGTCAGTAGATATGAAGCACCTTTCCTCAATGAAGACCTTAAAGTATTTGAAACCGAAGTATTTTTCCAAGGCTGTAAATCTTTATGGAAGCAGACTGCTACATCTTTCTCCCATGCAGCAGCTGATGGATCCAAACCACCAACCTTTTAGTTAGCATCTGAGCGTTTTAACCACTGTACAACCAAGACTCCAAGGTTTCTATTAGCTATTTATTATTATTTACTTCTATTTTGCATATTGGTAAAAATAGACAATGAAGATAGGTTAGAAAGTGTTGAACAGAAGACAAGAAGCTCTGGCCACCAGACATTTGGGTTCTTCCTTCTTCTGCCATGTGTTTATTTGATTCAAACTCAAAGTCTATCCTGTAAGATGCTCCTCTCTGTGTTTGGTAGACAACCAACAGTCCTGTTAAAGTAAGCACACACAAAAAAAACAAAAAAAAACCACTACCATTGATCCAATTCCAACTCATAGTGACCCTATCGGACAGAATAGAACTGCCCTATAGAGTTTTCAAGGATGTAAATCTTTGCAGAAACAAATTACCACATCTTTCTCCAACGGAGTTGCTGGTGGGTTCGAACTGCTGACCTTTCAGTTCAGTGTTAGCAGCTGAACACTTTAACCACTGCACCACCAAGGCACATAAACTCCAAACCAAACTCACTGCCATTGAGTCAATTCCAACTCATAGTGACCCCCATTCGTTTTCCAAGGCTGTAAATCTTTACAGAAGTAGATTGCCCCATGTTCTTTCCACAGAGCAGCTGAGTGGGTTTGAACCACTAACCTGGTTAGCAGCCAAATGCCTTACCCACTATGTCATCAGAGCTCTTTAGTAGGGCACAAGTGCATGTTAAATCATTCTTCTGTGTTTTCATATTTTTTCCCTTTGATTGCTTTGTTTGTGCACTTAATAAAGAGCTTCTCCCACAACTCCATACATATTAATAGTCAAGGTGGTGGAGGAAGCAGGGTAGGAAGAGATGCTGCCAAAGGAAATCAGACTTCTGCTTATAAAGACCAAGGCTATGAGCAGAAATGTGTGCAAGATCCATAAAGTCATGAACAATGTAAGAAAGTGGATTTATGCACCAAATCCCCAAATCCCAGACTTAGAAATGCAATTAAAACCAAACTCACTGCCAACGAGTCGATTCCAATTCATAGCAACCCCCACTAGGTTTCTGAGGCTATAAATCATTACGGAAGTAGATCGCCCCATCTTCCTTCTGCAGAGCACCTGGTGGGTTTGTATCACTAACCTTCGGATTAGCAGCGAAATGTGTTATCCACTATGCCACCAGAGCTCCTTAGAGATCCAGTTAGGACTAATAAATGCAATTCAGTTTTCTTATAGTCCGTAGTACACCTGGGGAAGCCATTATTCTAAAATATGTAGGAAAACCAGTAAGAAAAATGTAGTTTAGGATAAAAGGATTTGATTCATGTCTGCACTGCCCATGGACCATTAAAAAGAGACAGGGAAGTTGGCTAACATCAAGAACAGTCACAGCCACATTTGTTTTAGGACCACTGTCAAAGATGAAAGGAGCTCTGGTGGCACGGTGGTTAAATGCTCAGCTCTGAACTGAAAGGTCAGTGGTTTGAACCCACCAGCTGCAGGAGAAAGATGAGACAGTCTGCTTCCACAAAGATTTATGGCCTTGGAAACCCTATGAGGCAGTTCTGCTGTGTCCTGCAGGGTCCCTAAGAGTCATAATCAACCAGACAGCAGTGGGTGGGTCAGAAGTGAATGACCAGGATGGACAGACATTATCTGAGTCAGGGTGGCAATCCTGATTTTCTTTTGGTCATAAGCCTAGAACTCAAAGATGAAATGAAACTGCAACTAGTCTAGGAGAGCAAATCATTATATTGTAATAAGTGCCACCCCTTGCCCTCAAGAGTAAATGCACACATGGGGGTGGGGAGGGAACATATTATCTGGGAACCAAAACTTTTTGTAACTGCTATTAGAGTTACTAACAGTCACCACCTATAAGTAAAATCATGATTTAAGTATCATCAGAGAATTCATGCCCAAAAAAGGCTTTTCCTCTTCCCTGGCAGGGTGATACTTGCCATTCCAGTTTTTGAGAACTTGACAAGTTCAACTTGCCAAGGCAGTGGATCATGCTGCCATGTGCTGGACTCAGTGACATAATCAGGGAAAGCCGCAGTGGAGATCAGCTGTGGTTGTTGGCAGCAGCGATTTGTCTATTTCCTATTGTTCACATCACCAGGGGGAAGCATGACTCACAAGAGTTGCTTTCCCGGGCTGCTCACATACAACCTCCTCAGAAGCTGGAAAGAAGCCAAAGGCTGGTAAGAAATCCTCTTCTTTGAATGTAAGTGCACAGGATAAAGAAAGACCTACTGGCTGTGACAGCCAAATGACCAGCATTCTGAGCACCTACGAAAGTCATTTAAAGTAGCAAGGGCCTTTTCAGGATTCTGAGCAAGTAGGCTCCCTAATGAAAACAGCAAGGGCCGGCAGGGAAAGAGGTGAGGAAAAGGCTGTTCATGCTGACTGGGGGCCAGACCTTGTGCTGGCGCCTTATGTACTTGGTTTCTTCGAGTCCTCTAGGGCGCGTGAGGAAGATCATGTTTCCCTGTTTTATATGTGGCACTGTTGAAACTCTGATAAGTTAAGGGCGTTTCCCCAAAGGTCCACTAGTAAATAGTGGAGCTGGCATTTGAAACTAGCTGTTTACGTCATCTAGTTTAATTCTCTACCTAAGTTATCTAATTACTTATTTAATCTACCTAACCAGCAGTTTACTTAATCTCTCATACCCTAAATTTCCTCTTCTGCAAAACAGGGATCAATAATAGCAACTTCACAGGGTTATTGATTGAATGAGAAACACATGGAAATGCATAGCCAGACCTGACACAAAGCAGGTTCTTTGTGAATTTTAGTTCTTCATTTAATACTATGTTGGCAGGCAGAATACCTTGTGTAAAAGATGGAGAGGAGCTGAAGGAAGGTTTCATGCTTGCTTCCCAGGGGCCGACGGGTTGATTCCAACTCATCACAACCCCATATGTGTCAGAGTAGAACTGTGCTCCACAGGGTTTTCAATGACTGAGTCTTTTGGAAATATATCACCAGTTCTTTCTTCTGAAGCACCTCTGGGTGCACTTGACCTCCAACCTTTCATTTAGCAGCTGGATGCATTAACTTGTTCCTCTTCCTTATCTGATATATGTACCTTTTTGCCAAATGATAACAGATCAGGGCCAGGTTTCTTTCTTTGC